CGAGACAGCCTGCATAGCTTTAATGCAATGTGCTATTTTAGTTTGTGTCCCTGAAATGACACCATCTCTTTGGCACCAGCCAAAGAAGGCTTCCTAGACATCTATGGGAAGAGAATGTTTCACAGTAATCCAAGGCAGAGGTCACATAGGCATGAATTAGAAGGTCTGTGTCTGCTCCAGACCTTGTGACAAATAAAAGCAAGAAGATGATTTCCAGCGAAAGCATTTATGCAGGAATCCAGGGGAGAAATTGATCCAAGCAATCTTGGCAAATAGTTAAAGCAAACTGACCCATTCTTTTCAACCCAGGAAACTAGGGCAGCCTCTTTCTACCCCTTTTCTTCTTTTTTTTTCTTTGGCCGGGGGCTGGGCTTGAACCCGCCACCTCCGGTATATGGGGCCAGCGCCCTACCCCTTTGATCCACAGGCACCGCCCTCTTCCTACCCCTTTTCCACTCCATTACTTGGGTCCACTTGAGAGCCCCCAATTTTTTTTTTAAGAAAGATTCAACAAAAAAAAAAAAAAGAAAGATTCAACATAGTTAAATAACCATGCTTGTATTTAGTTATGTGATAAAATGCAGGATAACCAATCACATGAAAACTCCAACTCTTTCTAGCCAAGGCTCATACACTTTCATGTTCTATTTCTCTTACTTTTTCCATGGAAGGCACGATTTAGCCAGTCTGAACTTTCAGTATTTATTGGTTTTACACATAATAATTTAATCTTGTTTCTTCCTTTCTTTCTTCTTTATAGAATTTAGGAGATAAGGTCAAAATATTACAGATTACAACAGATTACATAATTATTTACTTTTTTAAAAAAATAAAACACTACCTTGGTTTTATAAACAGTATACCTTAAAAGACAAAAGGAAGGCATCTATCCTAATAGCATTTTTTTGATAAGTATATTACAATCTTCTTGCTCTCTCTGAGCTTGAGTTCCCTTTGAAAGGGAAAAGTGCTGACTGACTTGGTTTAAGGAAAGGAGAGAGGCTTGTTTCAAATGTGAGCAGCCCGTTTCCAACCAGCTGCTTAGTTAGCTCTTGAGGAGCAACAGGCCCCTAATGCCTGAGTGGATTTCCTGTTGCCAGTTCATCTCCACCTGGGAGAGTTCCCCGCTTTGGGAAAAGGAAACAACCTTCCAAAACACAGTTATCCAGGATGGGAGAAGTATTCCCGTGCTGAGCTGCACTGTGCCAGCTCTGGGGGGGCATTCAAAGATCTAGCAAAAGCTTCACAGTTTCTTGTGGTCTTTAAGAGAGATCTTAAAAGGCATGTAACTGTCCAGGGAATACAAAAGCCTGAGAAATAGTTTGCACACATGCGGTGAACTCATGTTTTATTATTCTCATCACTGCACTTGACAACAGATTACTGAGTAGTGCTGAAAATAGAGGCAGTGAGGGCTTGTGTTTCTAAGGAAAGAACCAATTGCAGTTTTAACACGTGCCAAGAGAAAATGTTGGCTGCTAAAATACAGACTGACCACCACCTGGTGAACCATTTCCTTCCCTACATGAATTTGGTTCTGTTCTTGAAAGCAGATTAAGGACACTAACCTAACCCACACTGTGAGTTGCCCTTCTTCTTCTTCTTCTTTTAATCATCATCATCATCATCATCATCAATTGTTATAGTAATCATCCTGATCATCACTGCCCATCCACTAATATTTCTACTAACATTCACCAGACTAGCTGTCAAGATTGGACAGTGCCAAAACAGTTAAAAACTCTTGCATGTGCTAAGTTTGAAACAACAATGGGAGAAGAGCTTCTAACTATAGGTTTTCCAATACCTCGATCATCAAAACAATCATTTCCCCAGGAAAGATTAAGTTTACTTGATGGCCATCACTTTCTGAATGACACGATGATGTTGATGTTTGGAAGGCAAACAGGCTGTGTGTCTGAGAGAGAGAGGATGAATACTGAGGTCTGCAGAGTGGGGGTTGGATAGGTGACTGTATGATGTTTCTCTCTCTCCCCCTCTCTCTCCTCTCTTGCATGCTCTCTCTCCCCTGTCTCTCCACACCCCCGTTTCTCTCTCTCACCAAACATATACAACCCTACTACTAGAACAAGAGCAATGTCACACACTAATGCTTCTTGCTTCTGTGAACCTTAACATTTTCCTTAATCACGGAAGACAGGAGGGGGAGCAGACAGGGTCTAAGGAACACAGTTAAAAAAACACATTGTGAGTATGACTCATTTTGTTTTCTTCCCAGATCTTTACATGGCCCATATATCTAAATGGATTTACATATACTTTTAACCAAATAAATCTCCATTTTAAGCATGTGTTCCTCTAGGGGGAAAGTGACCTTAAAAAATGTGTCATTGCAAGGAAATATAGTTCCCTTAATACCAAGATTTGGGGCATCCCTCTCTTTATGTTAGAGGAAACTCGTTGACCACAAGCTTTCTATTTCTTAGGCATGTTAGATGGACTGAAAGCACAGATGAAACCTAGACCAGGCGTAAGCTTTTCTAGGTAGATGTGTGTCCCTATGCAGAAAAGACCAAGTAGTAGAATGCTGGGGTTTTAAAGAAAAAGATTCCAGAAAACGTGTAATCAACTCTCTTGTTTCAGGGGAAGAAAGAGGTTCAAAGAGGTTAAATGATTTGTCTCAGATCCTCCAGCAGGGCAGGGATACCAACTAGGCTCCTAGCAACATGTCCAGTTTGCTTCAGCTATTTTTATAATATAAAACCCTTGAAAAGTTATTCATAAATTGAAGTTCTATAAATAAGTCCTATTTTGAATCTCCTAGGTTAACTAAACATGTGAAAAAGTCACTATCCCAGAAACCCATTTTTGTAGAAACACAGTAGGAAGTAGTACTTACCGAGCACCGACCGTGCTTTAGGCACTATTCTAAACAGATTTCCCTGTAATCACATTAAATGCACACACAGTCCTATGAGGTTTGCACTCCATTTAACAGGTGAGATAACTGAGGCACAGAGCAATGAAGTAACCTGCTCAAGCTAACAAAGCAAATTGCAAATTAACTGGCAGAGCCCAGACAGTATAACTCCAGAGCTGAAGCTCTTAACTACTTCCACACACAGAGCTCACTTCAAACGAGGCACCAGCTGGACAAGCTTTCACATCAATTGTCAAACATGAGCCACAACTCTGAAAACTGAGTAAAAACACACTGAATGTTTGCCTTACAAGGATTTTTTCTTTAATCTTTGGGGATTAAGTTAAGTGAGATGATCAATTTGGAGAGCATAAAGCAAATCACATTGAAGTGTGAAGCAAATATGATGAAGCTACTACACAGATGATCTGTCCACCCTGAAAGGTGTTACTGTCCCATTTCACCATTGAGGGAATCAAGGTTAGGTCACACAGCCAGTACGAGGCAGAAGCAGAATTGGAATCAAAATCTTGTCTGACTCCCAGCTTGATTCAACACCGTAGTTAGTAAGGTTAAATAACCAATTTGATCATCAGGAACGCTTAGGAGGGAGATTTTGGAGGTTCATCCAGCCCTACTTTGTCTTAACTCTTCTCTTCAGGGCGGGGCGCACACAGTCCAGAGTGCAGTGTCAGTCTGTAGATGGCGCTCGTTAGCCCATCCAGCCCACAGCTGGATGTCAAAGGGAAAAATACCTTTGGGTGAAGGACAGTGGGCTGGGTGTTTGGAATGCTACTCCTGGAGAGAGGGGTGAGTGAATGATTACCAAATTATCCAATCTAGGCTTATCTTCATAGCTGTGAACATTTCTCACATCCTACAGGGAGTTAGTATCTAAGTAGGTGTAACCAGAGAAAACATCTTTAAGTAGAAATGAAAACTGAAGAATGAGGCCTAAGATCACACTTCAAAGTAAAGGTTGCTCTAAATGCCTGTCACCAAAGTAAAGCAACGGCTTGACAATCTGGCAAACAGGAGCAAAGCTCAAGTAGATATTCTTCAAACTGATTTAAGTTCTGATAAAAACCCAAACTATGATTCTTTGTACTCTCAATTAACCTGAAATAATAATTTTATAAAAGCATTAACAGCGGTTACCCCCTAGATGATTCAATTACAAAGGATTCTCATTATGTGATAGTCTTTAATTTTTCTCAAAGGAACTTGTATATCTAGGTAATTTCACCCCCCCCCCACACTCTTACCTCTGCTCTTTTAAAAAATTACTACAGTTTTCTTTTGTCCCTAGAAATTACTAGATATGATTTCCTGTGGAAAATAACCAAATTCATGAGGTTCTTAAGTCCAGATTCCTATTTAGTTAGGCAGTTTCACATTCTAGAAAAGCTCTTGCCCATGCTCAGTCTCATTGGCAGCATTCGAACAAGACATCTGTTATTTACCAGATTAGCCATTTGAAATTGCAACCTGTACAGTCAAATCCCGCTGCATAGGTCAATTCATGGAACAGCAGTGAAATGGGAAAGGAAAACAAAGTGATGCCACGGCTTCAGCATCCCCACTTGGGAGAAAAGGAAAGGGAATAGAGAGCTAGGTTGAAGAGTAAGAGAGATGAATCCAGAGAGAGAGAGAGAGAGAGAGAGAGAGAGAGAGGGGAAGGGGATATAGAAAGAAGTGCAGATTAAAGCATTATGGTACCGTGGAAAACCCCTCCTGGTCCTTTTGGTCCCACTCCTACCCCAGCAGCCCTGCTGTATGCAAAGGACTGTGAACCTTGTACTTCCTTTAAGGAATTAGACCAGAGACAGCACAGAGAGAGACAAAGAGAAAGACTTGGTATTATTTTCTCACCTAAACTAAGCCTTCCTCTAGCCATGACTTTAAAAAGTATTTGGAGGAACCACGCCCTTCCCCACTCCTTGCCTCCTATTCTTTTGTTGCCTAAATTGATTATGGGCAGGCACTACCTCATCCAGGATGCTTCATTTCCATCATCTCAAAACACTCCAGTCCTTGCCCAAACCCAGCAAAAGTTTCCAGGAGTGTCAAAACAAAAGCAAAGCAGACCAGAATGGCTCCAGCAAAAAGATGACTTTACCTTCACCAAAAACATCCTCTTCTTCATCAACCAGGAGCTGCTCAGCATCAAGAAACTGCATTTTGAGGAGGACAGAAGCACAGACAGCAGGCACAGCCCCAGCAGTGCCAGCGGCCACACTCCCAGCCGAGGTGATTTCCTTTCCTCGGTTGCCCAAGCCCCGGGGAGGGCAGCTTCCGCATCTGCTCTGAAGAAAGCAGTTTCATTCATATGAATAGGCTTCTTGAGCCTTTTGAAGAGTGAATCCCAGGTGGGGTAATTCTCACCCCTGAGAAGAAAAAAACTCTTTGGAAGGGGGCTGCAGATCCGGTTGGATCTGAATACAGATATCACTCAAAGTTGGAGAGCAATGAATTCTATTTCAAAGCTACAACTTTCATATTTTCTTAGAGAGGAAGGTGGGATCTTAACTTCCTTGCTTATGAATTTGAACACAATGGGTAGTGTTGAAAGAGAGGGAGTTCACATTTCTCATATCTTGGTTTTGCTTCAATGACAATTTATCTGAAAGTAAAGCAAGCCACTTACGTTAAACCAAAGCAGGCATTTGGAGGACAGAGTTTTTATTTCACTCAGTAATAGTTGCATTTTCTTTTTTGCAAACCTCTTGCATTTGAGGATTGGAAACTTTACAACCTTTAAATCAAATTTAACAGAGATTGAGGCTTTCAGTGGCTTAATTAAATCTACAGTCAACGATTAAATAACTAGCTTTAGTTAAACAACTTCCATTTGACAATATTTACTCCAGGCGTCCTCAAACTATGACCTGCGGGCTACATGCAGCCGGCCTAGGACATTTATCTGGCCCGCCAGGTGTTTTTGCCACGGCTGCCTGTCCTGCTTGGTTGCCTGTCCTGCTTAGCAGCCGACTCGTCCCTGGGCCCACAGTCCGGCCCTCCAACAGTCTGAGGGACAGTGAACTGGCCCCCTGTTTAAAAAGTTTGAGGACCCCTGATTTACTCAGTTTGCTACTTTGGACTTTACTGTTAAGGGTGAAAAAAGAAAACATAATTTAAAAAGCAGCTCCTCCCCTCTAGGAGGAGTAACCACCAGGGTTCCACGTGAGTATCAGTGGCTGGCATCACCATATGAGATACGAAAAGTGTGCTCAATTCTGTATGGCTGTGCAAACACCAATCTCTCGGTGATACTGACATTTCATGTGGGGATTTCCCAGATCTCTCTGTTGTGTTCATCTCTCAGGCAGTCAAAAGCTTAGAAAATTCAAATGGATATGACCATGAGGAGTTGTTGACCTAGACATTGGCATTTGGCAATTTACTGTGTGGTTTTGAAGAGACTCCTAGTGCCACCTTGTAAGTTCAGAAACTGTTCCCTCCTTTGGTCACTGTACCCCTGAAATTGCTCCTGCTTCTCCCAGAGAGGAGTATGGATAATGGGGCTGGAGAAGTCCAGCAGTGAGAAAGGATCACCCTAAAGGAATTTAGGAATCAGTCACTAAGGGCCAAGTGAGCACCAACATAGGTTGTTTCTGTGCTGATAGCTATGGGGGTTTCCAAAGACAGTTGTGGCCTGATTCCTGCTGGGATCTCTAACTGTGCTCAACTGGGGCTGGAACTGTCTTAAGGAAGAGCTTGGAAATGTATGGGCTGTTTTGGGTGGGACAATGCCTAGGAGTTATTGTCTTGGTGCTCAGGAGCCAGGGATGGCAAACCTCCTACAATATATGTGACAGTGTCTTCAAGGGGAGAACTATCCAGCTCTAAATGCCAATAATGGCTCCCCTTGAGAAGGGCTGAGCTGCAGACAGCTGGAGCCGTCCATTCCTCTCGCTCTCCTTTGCACCCCTACTTTCTGACCCTTCTATCACCCCATACACCAGTGATTTTCAACCGGTGTGCAGTAGCACACTTGTGTGCCTCGAAAAGTTTTAAAGAACATTAATTAATTATTTTTGAAAGAAGTTCAAAGCACAGTAAGTATATTCTTTATTTTTTTACTCTTTTTTTTTTTTGATCAACATAATTTAAGTGTGCCTTGAAATTTTAACTAGAGGTTCAAGATGCTGTGAGATAAAAAAAAGTTAAAAAACACTGCCCTACTCTGATATCCAATTAAATGATGCATGTTGAGTCAAAGATTGCACTTAATTACAGAAATCAAATTATTTAAAATAAGCCCAGATGTAGGGAACCTGGATGTGGACTAGAGTTCTATTTTGTGTGGTTGGGATAAGAGGATGGGTGTCAAATTTGATCATCACTACATTTCTCAACCATAGTCCTATGTCCTTTAATCTTCACAACTTCGTCCTATCATACCATTTTACAGAGGTAGCAATGGGGATGCTGAGAACTTGAATAGCTTTCCTAAGGCCACATCTCTAGTGGCTGTCGGAAAGCAGATCTAAGTGGCCTTAGTGGCAAATCTGACCACTCAGGAGCTCACTTCATTACCTCTTGTCTAGACAGGTTTTTGGGAGCAGCTACAGACAATCTGGGCCACTGCAGCGTCCTGGTGGCCCCTGAGGATCTACACCACATCCCTGCTCAGCACCTTGGAACCACCAGGTTATCATGGAAGTTGGGGCCCAGCCAGTCCACTTCAGTAAGTTAACATAATATCAGTAGGCCTATTTTCTGATCTTTAAGTGGGTGGAATTATGTCCCCTGCCAACATTTATAGGTTGGAGTCCTAACCCCTAGTACCTCAGACTGTGACCTTATTTAGAAATAGGATTATTGAGGATATAATTAGTTAAGATGAGCTCATACCACAGTGGAGTAGGGTGGGTCCTTAATCTGCTATGACTGGTTTCCTCATAAAAAAAGGGAGATTTGACAAAGACATACACAGAACACCATGTGAAGAAGAAGACAGAGATTTACAAGACAAAGAATGCCAAAGATTGCCAGGAAACCACCAGAAGCTAGGGGAGAGGCCTGGAACAGATTCTCACATCCTTCAGAAGGAAGCAACCCTGCCAACACCTTGATCTTGGACTTTAGACTTCCAGAACCATGGTGCAATAAATTTCTATTATGTAGGTCACCCAGTTTGTGATAGTTTGTTATGGTAGCCTTTGCAAACTAATATTCTTCCTCATCTGCTTTCTTTTGAGGGATAAATAGGATAATTCATGTCGAGGAATTGACACAGCATGTGGTGCACAGTAAATACCCAGTTACAATTAATCCCACTTAGGGCATTTCTCTGCTGGAAGCCTTGATAGAGATAAAGAATGAGCAGTCATCATGCTGTCTACAGAATCTCAATAACCCTTAGGATGTTCCTCTTGGTCTCCTCTCCTGCAATTTAGATACCTTAAAAACGCAGCTAAGAACCTCTAAAAACAAATCACAAATGCACCAGAACTCCTTGAAAGTAGGAAATATGGAACACGGGCCTTGCTCTCCAAAGTTGATAATGATCTCAGAGAGATAAGGCATACATTCACAATGTGTTAACTAAATATAATAAAAGTATCGCTGCATGACTAAATATGGATAAGTTTCAAGTCAAAATATTGATGTTTAAAAGGTCTCAAAAGATTATAAACAGTATGATCATATTTCTACAAGTGTCTGAAATGAAAAGAAATCTATAACTAATAGCTAGCACTTTATAGTGCCAGCAACATTTCTAAATGCCATTTAATTCTTCACTTAACTCTTATGCCAATCCTATGATATAGGTATATTTATTAATAATCTCCATTTTACTTAAGGCCTAAGAAGTGAAATGAAAAAAGGAAGGATGAATCCGTCTGAGATAACTATTTTTTTTTTTTCTGAGACAGAGTCTCAAGTTGTTGCTCTAGGTAGAGTGCCATGGCATCACAGCTCATAGCAACTTCAAAGTCTTATGCTTAAGTGATTCTCTTGCCTCAGCCTCCCAAGTAGCTGGGACTACAGGAACCTGCCACAATGCCCGGCTATTTTTTGTTTGCAGTTGTTATTGTTGTTTAGCAGGCCCGGGCTGGGTTTGAACCCGCCACTCTAGGTGTATGTGGCCGGTGCCCTGCCAACTGACCTACAGATGCCACCCTGAGATAACTATTTTGATCAAAGGCTGATGCGTGACAACCTGGGTTAAAATATTTAGGGCTAAGTTTAAGAACAGAACTTCCCCAAGGGAATAAGCACAGGAACGTGGCATAGCTTCTATACTCTAAATAGTTGATGTCCACTTGGTGCCATACTGTGTCTGTGAATAACAAACATGCAGGGCTTGGTCCTCACTTTGAGACAATTTACTCACCCATTCCCATGTCCATTCATTTGAAAAATAATAATGAGTACCCATTATATTTTAGATACAGTGGGAAACATTTCAGTAAATGCGCAAGTGACTGTGTGTGTGTGTTGTGTTGAACTTATGAAAGTCAAACATAGTAATATTATTTTGTGGTATGAGAACTGAAGTTATCATAATCATGAATTTTTAAAATTAATTTTCAACATTTCTGCATGTTTTTCTGGGTTTTGTTTGTTTTGTTTCTTCTTCTTCCTCTCTCTCTTTTTTTTTTTTTTTTTAAGAAAACCATCTGTGAAGCACCTAATGGAAGAAACCACAATGGGTTAAAATACAGGGTGGCCATAAAGTTCATGTGCAATTGTAACTATTTAAATTGCATACAAACTTTATGACCACCCTGTATCATCATCCAGGGTGGTGGGCTTTCATTCCAACAGGAGAGCTTCGCAATCTTCTCTCTACTTCTGGAGAATTTCTCATTCCCTTCAGAAAGTGTTTTTAAATACCTACCTTTATGGCACACAAACTTCAGAACAGGAGAAATAATCTGAAATATTTAGGGGTAACATGCCCAGAAACAGAAAGGAGAACAAAGTAGGAGAGAGGAATTGAAACTGTGAGGAGTGGTTGGAATCAAGAAAAAGAGGTTGAAACAACCACAGAGCTAGAAATAATCTTATCTTTGGACAACTTTATCATTAAAGATGCACATAAAACGTGTCTAGCTGTAAAATTCTGTGTCCAAAGACCTGGGACTAAAGAAACATGATTTTATAGTGTTCCTGCTTTCAAGTTGCAAAGAGGAGGCACTAACACCCAAGGATAACAACCTTCCCAGGCACTTTGGAAATCTTCTTGCTTACCTCCCCCAGCCTCAGGGACATCTTTAGGCTGCAGGAGTCAGACTCAGAGTCACTTACTACAGGTAGCTGGAAAAGCCTGCAGGACCAATGACTA